GCCTGCTAGAAAGGCTGAATCTCCTGCCTGGAGAAACTCCTTCCCAATTTCAGGTACTACAATGTGCTGAAATTGTATAGAATTTCAGTGAACTGGAGGCCATAGAGGTGGAAGGAAGTGAAATCCTCCAAAACCCGGGTATTGAGGTGCTTCAGAAAACAACCAAGGAATGTGGAGTGAGGTGAGGGCCAGGATCAGTTCTCAAAGCTACAGATTTGGAGGCTATTCAACCTCTTTGCATGTTAGATACTGGAGGTACTGACAGAAAATTGATTAGAATAACCATATAAGAAGGGAATCACCCAAGAATTCAAGTTTTCTCCCCCTTCAGATTTTTCTCCCCACTAGGAAATGGCCTACAAAGTGTTCAGCTGACATGCAGGAACTTAGGAACACTTGTGATTGCAGGCAGAGAGTTGCTCACAGCTAACTTCACTTGAAGTTGTTTCTTTGTTTCAGAATCTGCTCTTTAGAAAAGGCCTTAAACCAGTCAAAGATACACAGCTGCTCTTTTAAGTGACCTAGAGTAAACTTTGCTCACTATAACTCATTATAATGCTAAACTCTCTGCCCTAAATTAAGTGCATATGCATTTATTTGGTTTGCTTTGGTTTGGTACTGGGAATAGACACCAGGGATGCTTTACCACTGAGCTACATTTTATGGTAGAGCTATCTCAGAAGAAAAAGAACATGATGCCATCTGTATCATTGTGAGCCCTCCAGAAATCAATCTTGAACATTCTTGCTACGTTGTAGTATTGAAATAGAATGTCCAATCAGGAATGTCTATTACCTCATATGAAGACAAAGACTAGTATGTAAAAGGAAACTAACTAGAATATATAAGAGATCACTTTCTACACTAAATTTTCAGCCTTCAGATAAGAATCCACTGAGGCTAGATGCACACAAATAAACACTGCTTCCTGTTGAATACTCTGGTGTCTCCTGTCTGTGTGAGAATCCCACACAACATTTTATTTTGTTTTGTTTGAGGCAGAATCTCACTTATCTTATCCTTCTCTTTGATATGTATTTAAAATGACCAGCTTTCTTAGAAGTGTTTATATCCTGTGAGAAGTGAAAAGAACATCTGAAAAAAGATTTCTTTTTTTTTATTGATTGTTCAAAACATTACAGAGCTCATGATATATCATCTTTCATACATTTGACTCAATTGGGTTTTGAACTCCCATTTTTACCCCAAATACAGATTGCAGAATCA